CGCCAATGGTCACGCATGGAAAGGTACCGTCCGTGACCTCATCGAGGCCGGCTAGATCAGGCATGATCACAGCCCTGACAAGTGCAAGTAAACTAAGTAAACGGACCGCGTAATAGAGGGGCTGGACCAAAACGAGGGCCAGATCAGGGTACAGAAGGCGTCGTTTGGGTTGCGCGCCGATAAGATATGCCGAACATGCGGGGGGAGGCGTGGTGGCACGCACGACCGCGCCAGCCACCTGCGCTCGATCTCATCTCTGGTCTTCTTGACACCGGACAAAGGTGGGCGAGGGAAGAAAGTGCGGTAGATGCATCGCAAGTAGACTACCACTTAAAACTAATTCACGCGCAAGTTACCATCCCTGCACCGCCCTGTTGTGGAGCATACGGTAAAAGGCGTCGAAATCGACGGCCGAACTGTAAGATGAGCGTGTGAAATGATGAAACCTACTGCCTTACATACAATGCTCTAAAACCCTTGGCTCGCAGTAAAGCCTCATTTGTCACAAAAACGGGCCTGTAAACACAATCTGACAGGTTTGATGCATGAGAAAAAAAACATGTAGATGGATCGGAGCAGATAAACGAAGGAAAAAGGACAAACAGCGCTGCCTTACCGTTCTTCGAGGCTGATGTCCACACCAAGGGCATGGGCACTGTTGACGGTCTGGCGAATGAGGGAGGCAAAGTTTCGCAGAATGACGCGAACGGCTTGGCAGGCCGTCTCGACGTACCTACACCCGGCGGCGGAAAGTGTACACAATTAGATAATAGGAACAACAAACAAAGCACTGTCAAAAAATGTCAAAACAGGCTCTAGCAGCTAATAAAACTCGAAAGGGAAAAGCCGCACATTCACAGTCGTTAGGAATTCGTGGACCGCATCATATCAACCTTCATTTCTACTTTTAGACAGAGGAACTTCCTGTAGAATCTGAATTGATAGAAAACCTTACGTAGGTTGACGTCTTCAAAACACAAACAAGACAAAGTGAGATACTAAGCTTAACAAGACAGGGGCATAAAATGTGTAACCAGAGTTAACCATAAACAGTTAAAATTATACCTACGGAAGCTTCAACGTTGTAAAAACCATAATCTGAGGGTTTTTGAACAGTGTTGTATGTATGCGGTTTTATTTGCTCAGTTGTTTGTGCGGACATGCATTAATCAAGTTCACTGAGTTGGCACGGATTTTCGCTTCGTGTAAGAAAATTGCTATTTCTAACCTACGTACAGTTACCTTAATTGCGTCTTCTACGTTCCCAGTTAACGGTCTATCAGTGTTAAGCCGTGGTTTTAATCGATGCATTTGGGCCGGTTAGTCTGATTAGAGCCTTTCTTGTGAGTCTCCACATGCTCCATAAAGTAGATCACTTACTGTACAGGCACTAATTGCTCCCACCCGGCATACGGAAACCACACATTCTGACGCCTTGAGGCTATTAACTGGGTGTCCGTCGGCCTGATCCCTTGACTTGGCTTGGCGCACACACCTTAAAGCGACCACCGCGTCAACCAGTACAATACCCACGCAAAATCGGAGGTAGCAAGGGGACGTCATAGCAACCCGTAGGCTCGCTACCTAAGTCTATGTACACACAAGCTTGACCCTCGACTTCCATTGTATAAGCACCACCTACCCTATTAGGTCTGTTGTTTATTCAGTGGACATTCGCATAAAGAGCACTTGCACGTTCGGCTTAACGTTAAATCAGCACTAGTCTTAAGCATATAAATACATTTTTAGCAAGCAGGTTAACACGCTATACAAACAAGGTGAGAGGAAAAAGCTTTGCAAGGAAACTTAAGCAGTTTCAAGTTAATAGAGCGTTTTTTGAGAAGGTAACCAAGACATGGACCAACGTGCAGAACAAAAAAAAGCATTCTGAAAACGAAGACAGTGTTAATATCAAGGAGACGACGATATCAAATCTCAAATGCAGAGGGTGTTGCGAAATACCCTTCCTTGGGGGCTATACAAAAGAGGCTTTCGTTAACTACTTAAACGGGCTGAATGTCGAAATTATATCTACATTTCCCTTAAATACACCAGCGGTTCAGCTAACGATCACTTGAAACATCTCAATTTATTTGCATGACGTCACCTCCATGACCGAAAAGAGCAAATAACCTGTAGAGTATATGAACGAAGAAAGCACTATTCTGTCCCGGTGAATCTAGTAACCGAAGGTTTAATATAAATACCAAAACGGACTGTTTCGATTAAAAAAAAGCCGAAATATCCACGGTCACCAACAGAACAAATAGGGATCGGGAAAGCACCCAGCGGTGGAATTAAAAGCTTCAAGCACACAGAAAAAACCTCTCCACCGGACGTTTAAAAAAGGAGAAAAACTTATCAGGAATGTTTCAACGCACACTGTGTACTTGCTCCACACGAGTTTTGTCAGTTGCGGGAGGAGGAGGGCAACAAGTTCCAGGTTCCAGAGTTTACTAAGGGAGGAAAGGGATAAGAAGGAGAAGCATGAGATTTGTGACGCAAGGCAACCCACTGCCTGCGGTTGAACGCAGATTGCAGCGCAAAATGCACCGCTGTGATTGATGTGCGCGTTTCATAGACTGACCAAGATGGAAGGTTTGGAATCAGCGAATCTTCAGTGATGGGAGAAATGCTAACAATTAGGACTCTGTGGAATAATAAGACACGGATAGGACCTAGATGAACTGTAACGAAGCAGGAAATAGCCGTTTGGGTAACAAGCCCAAATTAGAATGAAAATTCTCATTTGTGCAATCAAGTTTTGTCTTTAAGGGTTAAACAGCTTTCAACGCACCTGGTCTGGGGTCTGCGGTAACAGCGCACATATATTCCGAAACAGGGTCGGAATGAATGCCAAACATCTTCCACAGAGTTTGACGAATGTGTGCACGTGAAGCAAATGGAGAATCATGAGGAAAAAATACATTTTCTCTCTTCAGTGCAGACACCTTAAAACATCTGTATGTTCGAGTTAAAGACAGGTCACTACCAAAAATTACTTTGAGAAAGGTGCTGTCGCCACTGTCGTGAGCTGATTAATTAAACTGCGAATCGACTATGACACATTCTAGGTAGGCCCCGAAGGATCTACGAAACGTTACAACAATGTGAAGAACTAAGGCATTCAGACAAACTAAGTTGTCTAATACAATTTCATCTTATAAAATGGCTTAAAGGCTTTCGGCTCTGATATTCTACTCACCAAATTATAGGAACCACAGTTTATCCGAAGAAGTGGTTATACTTATAATTAACTATCAAGAGAAGTTAAAGGTTGAGGCGTTTAATGCACACTTGATTTTAAATGATTAACCGCAAATGGGCGCCTAGAAAGAGACCAAGAGGTGTTATCGTGGATATATCGACAATAATTGAGCAAGGCATAACTTCTGCATCTTAGGACAGTTCACGCTTTTAATGTGCAGTCTTTTTGGGAAATTATTTTGCCGTAAGGATATCCAGGCCTCATGGGTGCACCTGCCCGTTTTTCGGGTGGTCGGGATAGTAAATATGCGCTACTACTATTACTACTACTGCCACGGGTCGTTCAAACTACATTTCTTTTAAGTATTGTGCCTTCGCCTCTACCACTGAACCCCTTATTCGTGTACGGATTCGGCATTTCCTAACTGATCTTCAGAAAGTCAGTCACAAACCTGTTGGCGATGAGAGCACGCAGAACGTCAACAAAGACAGCCTGGTCCTGCATAAGGATGGCCGATTCCAGAGCAGTACGCAGGTTGTCGCGTGGCCACATGAGACGCACGTTGGTGAGACTCTTGTGTCGCACTGACAGTACAGACATGAAGGAAGCGTGTGGAACCCGCAGCTGTTGGATAATGGCGGCTTCGTTGTTGCTGCACCCGGAGTTGACGGTGGTCGTCGTATCACCGCTGGCAGCTATCGACTGACTAGCTTTTGTAACTGGCGACTCCCTCGGTGATTCCTTCTTGGGTGCCATTTTGCTGTCCTTCACGGAAGAGGCACTGCCCATCATACTCCAAAGGCCGGCAAATGGGTCTACACATTGAGGCGAAGCCTTGTTCTAGATGAAAGTGAAAAGATAAGGAAGAAGCTGAAAATGAAATTCAGTCAACATAGGACAAGTTGCTTGGAAAAGAGACGGCAGAGGACAAATCTATGAGATGAGTCCTCAGCAGTTATTCAGTTAGCAGCCATTGTGCAAATAAAGATGATTGCTTAGAAAATCCTGCTTGGGCAGCCAGCTTGCTGTATCCGTACTGATGGATTCCATAAGTTCAGTAGGTTGGGCGGGTAAATCAGCCCAAGGGTGATTAAATTCAAGGCTCACGACATGCCTTCGTAGCTCACTTGGTAGAGCGCTCACATTTGGGTCAATTGAATTATTCAAACCTGCCAACTCTCCTCCTCCTTAATAATAATACAGATGAGTCGGACAAACTCGTTATGTGGCAGGATTTGCTGATTAAGAACGCATGTTTGTGGCCCGCCGAGAGAGAGAGGTCTAGTCATCAGGTGCTCCAATAATAGACCCTACACACTTGTCCGAAACGGTGGACCAGGTCATTGCAGACACCCGAGTGGTGTGAGATGCTGACAATGGCAGTAAGAATTGACTGGACCATGCCGTCGTGCAGGTTCAGCTATGACTCAGACCATGCGTCATCGACAAGGCATAGCTTTCTCCAGGGCACTGCCGCCGCCATAGGCTTGTCTAACTACCTCAAAGCATTGTGCCGAACGGACACAGATAACAGCCGAACCCGAGGCTTTCGCCATGACAACCAATTGAGTCAAAATGAAGTCAATTCTTTGAAGCATTGCTCGGGAGTTGCTAGATCCTGCCAGGCGTCACCGTAAAGATTTGACCCCCGAAGGAATAGTCTGTCTAGATTATAGGGCTTGCGTTAACAGGCAAGGCGTCTTGAGTGACACGGATGCAGGAAAGCTCGGGATTGGGAGCGTGCTTAAGCCGGCAATGATAGCAGAAGGCAATGCAGGGCATCGAAAATGAGTCAATCGTTTTACGCACAAAGAACCGAAAGGTGCGGGAGCCTACGATGGAAGACACAACTTGCCTAGCTACAGAGCACGTTTTATCCACTCTCTTCTGTTACTGCCTAGAAGCGGCAGAATTACTGAGGAATTGCCTGGTGGTCATTTGCAGGAGTCTGTAGGCGTTATTCGTCCGTAATTAACAACTAACCACACAGCCCTCCGACTAACGTTGTTGATACAGAGGCAACAGATCGCTGTGTAAGAACTGCCTCGACACAGTAGCCCATAAGCCTTCGCATTAATTCTTCCCAGCTGGTTCGACTGATAGTGCAATAAACAGACGAAAAAGGGGTCAACGCAGCCATCCGCCGGGACAGGTTAGTCACCACGGATTCCTCGGCTGAACCTACAAACCCTGTCATCTTTAATACGTAAAGCGTGTTGTTTTTTATAGTTGACGCTGACCTTTCAGATTCCCTACAGTTGACAGGACAACATGAAAACGAAACTTACTTTTCTTAACTGAGGCTATTCGAAGGGACAAAGGACCAAAACCCACATGCACCAGGATGGGCCTTTTTCTTTCAATAAATGTTCAAATACTTAACAGACCAGGTTCATTAAAGCACGCTGTTACAATATTCCAACATGATACTGTCAAATGCATTTATAGAGGAGCGTGTTGTCGCCGACAGTTGTTTAGGCAACAGAAGTGGTACCGCAAAAATACTGATTTGAGGGACGAGGATGATAGACCACGCTGCAGTGGTGGTTAGAGATAGAAGTCTGCGTATGGTCGAGGATTAAGCTCTCGGATTAGGCACAGATTACGCTATTTCCCATTGAAAGCATGCATGAGATCAATCGGACACCCATGTATTTCGGTCGGCTCTAATTAAACCATTAAAGTCATCGCAAGATCAACTTCTTGACCAAGCTCCGAGGGCTCTGTCGAGCCAATCTGTATAGATGAGACATGGCTCTTCCTAGACAAAGATATCAAAAGCCTGAGTGCCCTTAGGCGGAAGTGGTAAAACCTGGTCTCCAACACACCTCCCCGGCCTTAGACTGACGAGAGTGGCTTAGTGGTCGGCTCAACTTTACTGGATAGTCAGCCGCCGAGCGGCTGAGGTGGAACGCGTTCATTCCTGGTGCGGTTAACCTATATGGGTCGACTAAATTGACCACGGTGAGCGCAGTAATAAGTACAAATTAGTAGCATGCGCTAAAACTGCAGTAGACTGTGTATTTCGCCTAAAAGACCACATCACACCAGGGAACAACTTGATTATTTCGCACGCGTGTACTGAAGACCTTCATAGTAACCAGCATTGCGACGTTCCCGACTAGGTAGGGGCAAGAAAATCGGCGGCCCTGCGATATCGGCGGTTCGGGTTTATCGGTGTGACACAAGCCAATCCGAACAATGGCAAAACTTTATAAGAACGGAACTGGTGGAAGTTCCATCCATCCAACAGGTACCACAGAAATAAAACATAAATACGGCGACCGAGGCAAACTTGGACTTTCAAAGAGGACACAGGGGGTGAGCAGGTGTGTGGCAGCAGCAACAATCACACCCGTGATGATGATAATAGGTGCTGAAACAACACCTGAAGCCGTCCAGCTCTGAGTTCTAAATATCCTTCACAGCAGAGAATGGGGGAGAGGATGCAATAGAATACGTGGAGCATAGCCTACCGCTCCGTGAGTAGGGATATGAGACTGACATTGTTGTTGACAAACATTACTCAACGAGGTTGAGTGAGGAAAGAGCGGTGCGTTTTGAGCTTTTTTCTCTGGAAACTGGGACATTCGGGAGGACAGAAAAGCAAACGTTTATGATGACACTCGTAGTCTGTTTGACTCAGACTAGCAACTTGTTCAAGCCGGAGACGGAAGAAGGAACAACGTTAGTTTTGATGTAGGACACGTTAATCTACCTATGTTTTGTTGACCTTCTTCGAAAAGTAATTTGTCCAAAGCGAGAGCACCAATGGACCTTGAGACGTCATCATTTTGAAAGGAGTAGGGACTATAAGCTAGCGAGCATGCACAGACATTAGTTTCATGAAAATCGTTCACGGGTACAGGCTAGCAAGAAAGGCCAGGTGTGATTATGAGCTAGCTATAGGTCGATCAGCATAGGCACAACACTTCTAACAGTGGTATTCTAGGACTAGTAGTTTTAATTTTAGGAAACAAGCAGAGCAAGCATTGATGTGCTCCGAGCCTCAAACGCCTACTCTTCTCGGAATGGCAACGCATCCAGGTCTCCACTCCTACTTGAGATTGAGGGAACACGGATCTAGAGCTGAATTCAATCAATGACATCTATGACCAAATACTAGCGTCAGTAATAGTACCAGCACTACAATCACTCAGATACACCGCTAGAGGCAGCAGCAGCATAAACAGTAGTTGCAGTAGTAGAAATACGAGACTCGGGCTCCACTAATCTTTCTGGGCATCTAATATGGGTGAGTGAGAGTAGATAGTGCAGCAGTA